ACACACAGACACACACACTGACTGCTCTCTCACACACACGGACACTGACTGCTCTCTCTCACACACACACACTGACTGCTCTCTCACACACACACTGACTGCTCTCTCTCACACACACGGACACTGACTGCTCTCTCTCACACACACTGACTGCTCTCACACACACACACTGACTGCTCTCAGACACACACACTGACTGCTCTCTCTCACACACACACACACACACTGACTGCTCTCACACACACAGACAGACTGACTGCACTCACGCACACACACTGACTTCTCTCTCACACACACACACACAAACTGACTGCTCTCTCTGTCACACACACACTCACACTGACTGCTCTCTCTCACACACACACTGACTGCTCTCTCTCACACACACGGACACACACACTGACTGCTCTCTCTCACACACACTGACTGCTCTCTCTCTCACACACACACACTGACTGCTCTCTCACACACACACTGACTGCTCTCACACACACACACTGACTGCTCTCTCTCACACACACACACTGACTGCTCTCACACACACACACTGAATGCTTTCACACACACACACACACACACTGACTGCTCTCTCTCACACACACTGACTGCTCTCTCTCTCTCACACACACACACTGACTGCTCTCTCTCTCTCACACACCCACTGACTGATCTCTCTCACATACATAAACACACACTGACTGCTCTCACACACACACACTGACTGCTCTCACACACACATTGACTGCTGTCACACACACACACACACTGACTGATCTCACACACACACACACTCACTCAAACACTGACTGCTCTCTCTGTCACACACACAAACAAACTGACTGTTAGAGAGAGACAGACTGAGAGAGAGAGAGAGAGAGACCGAGAGAGTCGAGGATTTGGACCCGAGCTGGGCGTTGGGATCACGAAGGAGTGGAGGGTTGAGAGGTGGGTATAGGAGGGTGACCAAAAGCGTGGTCGGTCGAAGAGGAGTGTCTTGAGATGTACCTTGAAGGAGGTGAGGAGGGGACGATTGAGGCGGAGGCACCGTAGGATGGAGCTGCAGGACCAACCGCCATTGATGGGGCGGGGTACGTGAAGCAGGCTGGAGCCTGCTGAGGGGAGGGAGCGTACAGGTTGGTAGGGGGTTAGGAGGTCACAGAGGTAGGGGGGGGGCGAGCAAGCCATGGAGGGCTTTGAAGGTGAGGACCAGGATATTGAACCGCATTCTCTATGTAATGGGAAGTCGGTGGAGTTGGGCGAGGATGGTGGTGATGGGGCAAGTTGGGGTGAGTGTGCGCGAGGGGGAAACATTGGTAGGTAAGAGCTGTGTGAGTGGAACTGGTTGGGGTGAGAACGGGAGTGGAAATATTTGGGGTAACAGCAGGGGGACTACTTGGGGTTAGAAGGGGAAAGTGGGATGAGTTGGGTACTGTCCCGCACCAGACACCGCGACCACATCATTCCCACTCTCGCTCCCCTCCACTGGCTCCCCATCCCCCAGAGGATCCAATTCAAGACCCTCATCCTCACCTACAAGGCCATTCACGGCCTCGCTCCCTCCTACCGCTCCGACCTACTATCCCCCTACTTACCTGCCCGTACCCTCCGTTCCTCTGGCTCCGGTCTGCTCCACGTCCCCCGCCCCAACCGCCCGACCATCGGTGGCCTTCAGCCTCTCAGCCCCGAGGCTCTGGAACTCCATCCCCAGTGCCATCGCAGCTTCCATCTTTTCCTCCTTCAAGGCCGGTCTCAAGACCTTTCTCTTTGACTGTACCTTCAGCTCCACTCTCGACTCTCTACCCCTCCTCGCCCCCTACCTTCCCTCCCCTCACCCTGACCATCTCCCCCCTCCTCGCTCCCTCCCTTCCCTCCCCTCACCCTGACCATTTCCCCCCAATGCTCGGGTCCTGACCCAACTGTGCAGCGCCTTGGGACGTCCTCCCGATGCGAAAGGCGCTCTATAAAAGAAATGTTGTTGTTGCTCTCTCTCACACACACACACATACTGACTGACAGACTGACTGCTCTCACACACACACACTGACTGCTCTCTCTCACACACACACACACACACACTGACTACTCTCTCACACACATACTGACTGACTGCTCTCCCACACACACACTGACTGCTCTCCCACACACACACTAACTGCTCTCTCTCACAAACACACACACACACTGACTGCCTCACACACACACATTGAAAGCTCTCACACACACATACACTGACTGCTCACACACACACACACTGACTGCTCTCTCTCCCACACACACACACACTGACTGCTATCTCTCACACACACACTGACTGCTCTCACACACACACTGACTGCTCTAACACACACACACTGACTGCTCTCACACACACACACACTGACTGCTCTCTCACACACACACTGACTGCTCTCACACACACACACACGCAGACTGACTGCTCTCTCACACACACACACAGACTGACTGCTCTCACACACACATACTGACTTCTCTCACATAGACACACACACACCTACACACATACTGACTGCTCTCACACACACTGACTGCTCACACACACACACACACACACACACACTGACTGCTCTCACACACACACACACCCAGACTGACTGCTCTCACACACACACACTGACTGCTCTCACACACACACACAGACTGACTACTCTCACACACACATACTGACTACTCTGACATAGACACACACACACACACCTACACACATTCTGACTTCACTCACACACACTGACTGCTCACACACACACACTGACTGCTCACACACACAAACACACACACACACACGGACTGCTCTCACACACACACTGACTGCTCTCTCTCACACACACACACACACACAGACTGCTCTCACACACACAGAGTGACGGCTCTCTCTCTCTCACACACACACTGACTGCTCTCTCTCACACACACACTGAGTGCTCTCTCACACACACTGACTGCTCTCACACACACACTGACTGCTCTCTCTCACACACACACTGAGTGCTCTCTCACACACACACTGACTGCTCTCACATAGACACCTACACACACTGACTGCTCTCTCTCTCACACACACACACTGACTGCTCTCCTACACATGACCGCTCTCTCTCACACACACACACTGACTGCTCTTCCAACACACACACACTGACTGCTCCCCCCCCCCCCCCACACACACACACACACTGACTGCTCCCCCCCCCCCCACACACACACATACTGACTGCTCTCACATAGACACACACACCTGCGCACACACTGACTGCTCTCACACACACTGACTGCTCACACACACACACACTAACTGCTCTCTCTCCCACACACACACTGACTGCTCTCTCGCACACATACTGACTGCTCTCTCACACACACACTGACTGCTCACACACACACACCTACACACACACACACACATACTGACTGCTCTCACACACACATACTGACTGCTCTCACATAGACATGCACACAGCTACACACACTGACTGCTCTCATACACACTGACTGCTCACACACACACACATTGACTGCTCTCCCCCCAAAAAAACCCACACACTCACAGACTGCTCTCACACACAAATACACACACACATACTGACCTCTCTCTCTCACACACACACACACACACTGACTACTCTCTCTCTCACACACACACACACAGACTGCTCCAACACACACACTGACTCCTCACACACACACACACACACACACTGATTGCTCTCTCTCTCTCACACACACACACTAACTGCTCCCACACACACACTGACTGCTCTCACACACACACACACTGACTGATCTCCCCCACACACACACACATTGATTGCTCTCTCTCACACACACACACACACACACTGACTGCTCTCTCTCTCTCACACACACACACACGCACACACTGACTGCTCCCCCCCCACACACACACACATACACACACTGACTGCTCTCACACACACACACACACACTGACGGCTCTCTCTCTGACACACACACTGACTGCTCTCCCCCCCCACACACACACACATACACACACTGACTGCTCTCACACACACACACACACTTACGGCTCTCTCTCTGACACACACACTGACTGCTCTCCCCCCCACATACACGCGCACATACACACACACTGACTGCTCTCTCTCTCTCTCTCTCTCTCACACACACACTGAGTGCTCTCTCACACACAAACACACACACACACAAACTGACCTCTCTCTCACGCACACACTGACTGCTCTCACAGACACACCGACTGCTCTCTCTCACACACACACACACTAACTGCTTTCACACACACACCGACCGCTCTCTTTCTCACACACACACACACACACTGACTGCTCTCACACACACACACTGACTGCTCACACACACACACACACACACACTGACCGCTCTCTCTCACACACACACACTGACTGCTCTCCCACACACACTGACTGCTCACACGCACACACACTAACTGCTCTCTCACACACACACACCTACACACACACACACACGCACACATACTGACTGCTCACACACACACACTGACTGCTCTCCCCCAAAAAAAATCCCAAACACACACTGACTGCTCTCACACACACACATACACACACTGAGTGCTCACACACATTGACTGCTCTCTCACACACACACACACTGACTGCTCTCACATAGACACACACACACCTACACACACTGACTGAGGCAAATACACACATACACACACACAGAGAGAGAGAGAGACGGAGACGAAGAGAGACAACGAAAGAGAGAGCCTGAAATAGAGAGACGGAAATATATAAACTGAGAGAGACTGACACACAGAGAGAGAGAGAGAGACTGTGAGAGAAAATGCATCAGTTGTGGTCGCTTACAGCAGTTTAGCAGTGACTGAGGGTCGGGGCTCTCCAGCCGCCCGCACGGCCGTAGGCGGTGTGTGTCAATAACGGTCCCCAGAGCAGAGATGGGAGAGGAATCAGGATCAACATCTTTAATAATCAGTCACTACAGTGTCCAGAATATATTCCATATTACACAGACTGTGTGGACAGTCACTGCCTCAGTCATTGTCACACTATCACTAACAGCTCAGCTCTGATTCCCCGCAGTGACCGCAGCTGTTTCTTTCCGTCTGAACTGAACTCATTCTCCCACAGCCTGAAACACATTAAACAGGAAATAAACCCATGGGATAATGGTACAAACTGTAAACTGTTCGTGTCGCAGTTTAATACATAAATAAATCCCTTCAAACTGTTCCCATTCTGATACACAGCCCTTTCTCTGTGTGTTTATCACATTAAACACTGACACAAACACTCACCCGATCCACACCAGACTGGTGCAGGTCTGTATGAGGCGGCGGAGAGCGCGGACAGAGCCGTCTGTGAAGGAGTTAGAGCTCAGGTCCAGGAACCTCAGTGAGCGGTTTGTACTGAGAGCGGAGACCACATCATCAGTGCAGCCATCGGTCAGTCTGTTACTGTCCAACCTGGAGATCAGAGACACAGAGACATGACAGGGATCAGAGTAAACACAGTGGGTATAACCCACTGTCACTCACAGTTTGTTTGATGCCGGACAGGTTGTAGGAGTTCATACACACAAACACACACACACACCAACACAAACACAGACAAAAACATCGCCGCAGATACACACTTACTCTCACACACGCAAATACACACAAACACATGACCCACAGAAAAATACACACAAACACAGAAGCAGAGTCACATAAACCGAGAGACGCGCACACAGACACACACATACACACATAAATACACACTCACGCAGACAAACACACACACACACTCTCACACAAACGCGCTCACACAGAAACATACACAATCACACCCAAAAACTCACCCACGCAAACACATACGTTCGCAAACACACACACAGTAACTCACACAAGCAAACACACACACACACAAACAATCAATCATTCACACAAACGCACACACATATGCACACAAACACAACACACACACACAGAAAAAAACGCACGCACATACACGCATACACACACAAACATACATAAACATTCACACAAACACCCACAACCATTCAAACGCACATAAACACACATTGAAAAACACAATCACAAGCAGAAGCACAGCACATACAAACAAACACTGATATAAATAGACATACACAGAAACATACAAACACACACAAAAACTCACACAAACACTCACAAACTCATACACACAAAATCGAACACACGTCAACACACACACTCAAACACACACACACGCAAACATAAGCACAATCACTCACACAAGCACACATACGAACATAAACAAAATGGCACAGAAACACACACATACATGCACATACACGCATAAACAAACACATTACCCACAAATACACTCAGTCACACACACAAACAAACACATAAATACATGCATACACACACAAACACATAGACAAGTGGACACACACCGACACACATGCAAACACAGTCATGCAAGCACACACACATATACACACAAACAAACACATGTAGCACAGAAAAATACACACACACACACACAGATACAGACACAGAGACAAACATACACAGAGAAACACACAGAAACAAACACACTCACAGAAACACAAACAAACGAACACACACACAAACACACGCAAATATACACGTAAACACACACAGAAAAAAGCACACAAGTACATGCACAAATACACAGACACAGGCATACACAAACACATATAACCATAAACGCGAAAACGCACGCACAAATACACACAGAAACACACAAACAAAGAAACACAAAAACAAACTCACAAATACGCACACACAAAAACACAACACACAATCACACACACACATAGAAACATAAAGACAATCAGACACACACTCAAAAACACACAAACAAACAAAGAAACACAAAATTAAATACAAACACAGATATAAATACACATACATAGATTCATACAAAAAACATACGCGAATACACACACACAAGCACACACAAAACACCCACACACAAACACACACACAAAAACACACACAGGAAAACACACAAACATAAATACACATACACACAACCAAACGCACAAACGTGCAAGCACACAGACACAACCACGCACACACCCGCAGACACGCACACACATTACGACACACACAAACACACACACGCAAATACACAATAACATCAATAAAATTGCATTTACAGAGCGCCTTTCACGTCGGCAGGACGTCCCAAAGCGCTGAACAGTCAGGTGTCGGGGCCTGAGCATGGGGGAGGGGTGGGGGAGGGGTGGGGAGGTGGAGAGGGGTGGAGAGGGGTGGGGGAGGGGTGGGGAGGGGTGGGGTAGGAGTGACGGAAGGCAGAGAGGTGGGAGGGAGACCAAAGCCACGATGGAAGAGAAGGGTCTTGAGACCGACCTTGAAGGAGACAAGAGAGGAAGTGAGGGGAAGGGACCGTGGGATGGAGTCCCAGAGTGTGGGGCAGAGAGGCTGAAAGCCCGGACACCGATGGGAGGGCGGGTCGGGCGGGAGACACGGAGCAGCCCGGAGCCCACTGGCCGGAGGGAGCGGGCAGGTTGGTAGGGAGTCAGCAGGTCAGAGAGGGGAGGAGGGGGCGAGGCCATGGATGGCCTTAAAGGTGAGGACGAGGATCTTGAACTCGATCCTCTGGGATACACACACACAATCGCACACACTCACAGGAACACACACAAACACACACAGAATCGCACACACTCACAGGAACATACACAAATGCACACAACAACAACAACAAGATTACAGTTGTATATCGCCTTTCATGTCGGACGTCCCAAGGCTCTGACACACACACACTCACAAGCACAAAGTCACACAAGCAAACACACATACACACTGAGAGACAAAAAACTCTGCAGAAACAAACACACACAGACAGAGAGACACACAAAATATATATATATATAGATGTACTCAAAAACACACGCACACACAAACACAGAAACAAAGACAAACACACACACAAACAATCGCTCACACAGACACACACACACACACTGACGAAACCACTCACAAAAGCACACAGACCCGCATACACAGGCAAACGCAAACATACACACAGACACGCAAACAGACACACACACACACAGACACAAACACAGACAAAACACATGCACTGACACACACACACACAGACATACATACACACAGTGTTGTCTTGGGTTAATGTTGAAGTGTGGTTTAAGAATCTAAAATAGAAGTGCAAAGGCGGCGAAGCTCAGTAACTGAAGGCAGAACCCAAACCAATGGCAACATAAGGTCAGGAGGTACAGGGACACGGAAAGTCCTTGTGGTTAAAGGGAGAATTGAAATTGAAACATATTATGGATGTACCCAAATAAGGAGTTGTTTTTCTTAAAAAGACAGTTTTGTCTGGAGTTATTCAGTTGTCTTTAAACAAAGATGTGTTAGATATCTCTCGGGAATGGTAGCGGAGCAGTGAGAGACACGACCAGTGTTGTGACAGGAATCCGCTCGGTACCGCTCTGTGTCTTGTGTATTATTTTATTGTTTCATTTATTTGTGTATTTCCTGCTGTTTTGACCTGAATATAGTGACTGAACTCAACCAAATGGTAAATTGGAATAGGATCATTGTAAAGTCGTTGTAAATAGTTGCAAATGTTTCTGACAACAGACACACACACACACATTCAACCACAAACATAGATACACACGCAGACACACACACACAGTCGCAGACTCGCAGACAGAGAGACACACAGACATGCACAGACACACAGACACATTAATACATGTTGAGAGTTTGATGTAAACGATGGCTTGTGGCCTCACACTGTCACACCGATTCCTGTCACAATATTCAGCCGCACTGATCAGACAGTCACAATAAACACATTGAGATATTGGAGTCATTCAGACTCTGGAGACACAGTGCGTTACTTACCTGAGACACTGTATTTTACACTCCGAGTTCCTAAGAGCCTCACACAGTCGCTTCACTCCACAATCTCCCAGATTATTGCCCCCCAACCTGGACACAGGGACACAAACACAGGGAATATAGTGTAACAACACAATACACATTGACATGTACATACAGGAGCCTTTCACGTGGGGAGCAAGTCCCAAGGCGCTGAGACCAGGGTCACACACACACATGTGCTCACACATCACAGTCTGTCTCTGTCTCACTGATTCTCTCCCTGTCTCTCCCACAAAACAGTCACTACGTTTAATAATATATTCTCTTTCACCATCTCCTCTCTCTCTCTCTCAGTCTCCTTCTATGTCTTTCACTTTCTCACTCACTTAGTCTCCTCTCTCTCTCTAAGTTTCTTTCTCTGCCTCTCCCACAAAACACAGTCCCTTTGTGTGATTACATATTCTCTCTCATAGTCTCTCTCTTTCTCTCAGTCTCTTACTCGCTCTCTCTCACAATCATTCTTCTTTCGCTCAGTCTCTCTCTCTCTCTCTCTGTCTCAGTCTCTATCTCTCTGGCTCTCTGAGGCTGTCTCTCAGTCTCTTTCTCACTCTGTATCTCTGAGTTACTTTCTCTCTCTGTCTCTCTCTTTCTCTCAGTCTCTCTCTCCCACTTTGTGTTTCTCAGGCACTTTCTCTCTCTCTCCCTCTCTCGGTAACTTTCTCTATCGCTCACAAATATACAGTCAATTCACTTTAAGTCGATTCTGTGAAGCGCTTTGAGCCGTCTAGAAGGCGTGAAAAGCACTATATCAAACGCAAGGATTGTTATTAGTTGTAGCAGTAGAAGTAGTATTATCTCTTCCGGCAGTTTATCCCAATCTCTCTCTCGCTCTCTCAGTCAATCTGTATCTGTTTCTCCCACAAAACACTTTACAATATATTCTCTCTCAGTATCTCTCTCGCTCTCTCTCTCAATCTTTCTGAGTCTCCTTCTCTGTCTCTCTTTCGGCCTCTGTCTCTCAATCTCTTTCTCTCTCTCTCTCTCTCTCTCACTCTCTCAATCATTTTCTCAGTCTCTGTCTCTCTCTGTGTCTATCAATGTCTATTTCTGTCTCTCTCTCTCTCTCTCTCTCTCTCAATCTCTCAGTCAGTCAATATTTTTGTGTCTCTCTGTCTCGTCAACAAAACATACAGTCACTACACATTATAATATATTCTCTCTCCACTTCTGTCTCACTCAGTCTTTCAGTCTCTTTCTCTTCCTCATATCTCTCTCAGTCGCTCTCTCTCTAAGTCTCTTTTTCTCCCTTATTGACACCCTTCAGTCTCTCTCTCTCTCTCTCTCTCTCTCTCTCTCAGCCTCTCTCTCTTTCTCAGTCCCTCTCTCTGTGTGACTGCCAGAATCTCTCTCCCTCCATCTACGTGTCTCAGTCTCTCTTCCTCTCAGTCTCTCAGACTATATTTCTCTACTGGTGTCTCTCAGTATCTCTTTCTGTCGCTCTCTCACATTCTCTCTCACTCTGTGTCTATGAGTCACTTTCTCTCTCAGCCTCCCTCTCTGTTTCTCTCCTCTCTCGCATTCACTCTCTCGCTCTCTCTCTCTCTCTCATTTTCTCACTCAGTTTGTCTCACTCAGTCTCCCTTTCCCAGTCTATCACTCTCCCAGTCTCTCTCTCTCTCTCTCTCTCAATATCTGTCTCATCACTCGCTCTCTCAGTCTCTCTCTCTCTGTCTTGTAGTCTCTCTGACGCTCTCCCAGTATCTCTCAGTGCCTTTCTGACTCTCTCCTCCTTTCGTTCTGCCTCTCTCTCTCTCTCTCTTTCTCTTTCTCTTTCTTTGTCAGTCTCTCTCACTGACTCTCTCTGTATCTCTCTCTCTGACTGTCTCTTTCTCTCTCTCGCAGTCACACAAAACACAGTGTCACTAAACTTTAAAATATCTCTCTCACACACTCTCTCTCTACGTTTTTCCCTCTCTCATTTTCTCTCTGTATCTCTCTCTTCTTTCCCTCATTGAATCTCTCGCCCTGTCTCTGTCTTTATCTCTGACTGTTACTGTCTCTCTCTCTCTGTATGTTTCTCTATCAGTCTCTCTCTCTCTCTCTCGCTCTCTCTCTCACAGTCTGTCTAACATTCTCTCACTCTGGCTCTTCCACAAGGCATAGTCACTATTCGATATTATATATTTTTATATCAGTCTCTCTTTGTGTCTCTACCTGTCTCACTTTCTTCGTGGTCTCTGTCTCTTAGTCTCTCCGATAAAATGCACAGTCACTACATGTTGTATGTCATGTACCCTATTCTCTCTCACTGTGCCTGTCTTTCTCTCAGTTTGTCTCTCTCACTCTCTCCTGCTCAGTTTCTTTCTCTCAATCTCTCTCTGATTCTCTGTCTCTCCCTTTTTCTCTTTCTAAATCAGTCTCTCTCTCTCTGTCGCTCTCTCTGTTTCATTATCTGTCAGTCTCTGTATTCGCCTCTCGCTCTATCTTTCGTTCCCTCAGTCTCTCTTCACTATCTTACTTCTCTCTTTCTGTCACTTTCTCTTAGTCCCTCTCACAAAAAAAGACTGCATGTTAAATTTCTTCTCCCCTAGTATCTCTCTCTCTATCAGTATCTCTCTCTTTCTCTCAATCTATCTCACAGACTATCACTCTGTCTTTCTCTCACTCAGTCTCTCTTCTCTCTCAGTATATCTTTCTGTCTCTGCATCTCTCTGTCTGTCTCTCTCTCAATTGCCATCTATCTCTCATTCTCTCATGAAATATTGTTTTCAACGGATTAATAACCCTGGAAAAGTGATCTGCAAGTCGTAAAACAACCGGATTGTGACTGACTGTGTGGCAATCAGACACGAGTGGAGTAAGGAAACATCCGTAAGGTTTTGCCCTGTCAGGAATCACCCCCAGGCCCTCTCGCTAGCGAGGCGAGGGCTCTAACCACTGAGCTACAGGGCTCAGACTGCAGTGTGTGAGCAGACACAGGCTAACTCAGGGCTGAAGCTGTGTAGATTTCATTCTGGGGTGAGGGTTTTGCACAGACGTTTTGACTGGAAAGATTCTGACNAAAATAACCTCAAACCCAGTGGAGGGGTCGGAGCTGTGACGATCCGCATGTCACTAGAGATGGGGTTTCCAGCACATGGTTTCATTTTAACACATGTTGAGAGTTTGATGTAAACGATGGCTTGTGGCCTCACACTGTCACACCGAGATATTGGGATCATTCAGACTCTGGAGATACAGTGTGTTACTTACTCCAGTCTCTGTATTTTAAACACCGGGTTCCTCAGAGCCTCACACAGTGGCTTCACTCCACAATTTCCCAGTTTATTAATATTGAGGTACAGCTCCGTCAGTGAGTGGTTTGTGCTGAGAGCAGAGGTCAGATCTTCTGTACAATCAGCTGTCAGATTGTTACTGTCCAACCTGGAGATCAGAGACACAGAGACACAACAGGGATCAGAGTAAACACAGTGTGTGTAACCCACTGTCACTCACAGTTTGTTTGATGCCGGACAGGTGGCAGCAGTGCACGCGCATACACACACACACACACCAGCACACACAGACACACCTACACACAGACACAAAAACACACACGCATACTCACAACCGTACAAACAAGCACAAATACACACTCAAACATACAAATAGATGACACAAACAAACACACGCAGACACATGCATACCAAAAAGAATTTAACACACACATACACACAAAAACGCACACACACCACCAAACAAGCACCCACGCACAAACAAAAGCACACGTGCACAAATACAGAAATACACAAATACAAGTACACAAACACACATATACAATCACAAACACAAATACAGATGCAGAACACATAGACAGGAACAGACAGTATTGCACACGCTCACAGGCACACACAGAAACAAACAGACATGAAACACACTTACGCACAAGCAAATGCATGACAGACACAGAAATACACACGCACGGACACACATACACAAAGAGAAAGACACACAGACAAGCAAATGCACACAAAAAAATCACAAAAACACACAAACAACAAAACACAGAAGTAAACACACAAAAAACAAAGACACACAAAAGCAAAAACACACATGAACACAAACGTGCACAGATGCGCGCGCACACAAATACCTACGCAAACACACAGAAATGCACACATACAAACGCAAACACATGCAAACGCTCACAAACAAACTCAAACGAACAGAGGCACACAAATAAACAGACAAACATACACAAGCAAGCACAGAATGTCAGACATGGCGCAAAAAACACGGGCACAGAAAAACATACACGTATACACATACACACACAAACAAATTCACATGCGCACAGAAATACGCGCACAAACACATACATATGCGAACACACACAAGCACACACACATACACAAATACACAATCATACACACAAAACAAACACACACACACAGAAACACAAAACAAACACACAAACCGACACACAAACACGAGCACACAAGCCCACACACAAACACAAACAAACAATCACACAAACGCACGCATAAAAACAAACACACACAGAAGCACAGCAAGAAACACACAAGAAAATACACAGGTACATATACACAAACACACAGAAAACACAAACACACACTCACGCACCCAACCCCAAAAACATAGATGCACAAAAACACAAACAATCATAAACACATACACACATAAATACGCACACAAACACAAAAATGCGTGCACAAATACACTCACGCATAAACAAATTCGCAAAGAAACACTCAAACAAGCACAATAAACACACACATGCATACACAGACAAATACATACACAGAAACATACACTGAAACACACGTGAACACAAACAAACACTCACATAAAGACAATCACACACGCAAGAACACACACCAACGCACATAAACAAACATACACACAAGCACAGACACACACACAGAAACACAAACAAACTCAAAAACAAACTCACATGTTCACACACACAATCATACATTCATGCGAACACATCAACGTAAACACTCACACAAGCACACCAAACACATATATATAAAATAACACAAACAAACATACATATAAATACACATCCACACAACCAAACAAACACAAATAGATACACACATACAAACACACAATCGCGCACACAAACATTCACACAAACATTCACCAATGCACACACAACACACAAAGACACCCAAACATACAAAACAAACACAGAAACAAACAGAGATACTCACAGATACACACGCAAGTACGCACAGACACTCACAAAAAGCAGTCACAAACGCACACAAGCACACACTCAGAATCGCAAACACACGCAAACGCAGACACACAAACAGACACACACACAAGATGCACATACAAACAGACACACACAGACAGACACACATTAATACATGTTGAGAGTTTGATGTAAACGATGGCTTGTGGCCTCACACTGTCACACCAATTCCTGTCACAATATTCAGCCGCACTGATCAGACAGTCACAATAAACGCATTGAGATATTGGAGTCATTAAGACTCTGGAGACACAGTGCGTTACTTACCACAGACTTTGTATTTTACACTCCGAGTTCCTCAGAGCCTCACACAGTCGCTTCACTCCACAATCTCCCAGATTATTGTTCCCCAGCCTGGACACAGAGACACAAACACAGGTAATACAGTGTTACAACACAATACACATTGACATGTATATACAGGAGCCTTTCACGTGGGGAGCAAGTCCCAAGGCGCTGGGACCAGGGTCACACCCACCCACACACACATGTGCACACACACACATCACTGTCTGTCTCTCTATCTCTCTCACGCTCTCCGTCTTTTTCTCTCTTCTGTCTACTTCTCTCTCTCTCTCTCTCTCACAGTCTCTCTCTCTTTCTCTCTCGCTCTCTATCTCTCTCTCTCTCACTGCCTATATTCTATTCTTTGTCAGTCTCTCTCTCTGTCTGTGTCTTTCCCTCACGCAATCACACTCCCTCAGTCTCTTTCTTTCTCAGTCTCTCTCTCTGGCTCTCGCTCTAACATTCTCCAACTCAGTCTCTCTCCCAATCTCTTTATCTCAGTCACTTTCTCAGTCTCTTGCTTTGTCTCTATCATTCTCTCTTTCTGTCTCTCTCTCTCTGTCTCGCTCTTTCTCTCTCGCTCACTCACTCTTAGTCTCTCCCACCACCACATGGATATATTGCATCTCCGCAAAGCTCTCTCTTGCTCCCTCTTTCTCTCAGTATCTCTCTGTGAGTCTCTCTCTCTCTGTCTCGCTCAGAGTCTCTTGCTCTATCTCTTCCACAAAACAACAAAAACCACAACAGGATTCCATTTATAAAGCGCCTTTCACGTCAGGAGGACGTCCCAAACACAAAACACAGTCACTTCACAGTAAAATACATTTCCTCCTGTCAGTCTCCTTATCATTCTCTCTCTCAATCTCTCTGTCTACCTCTCTCAGTCTCTCCCACAAAATACCACACAATATATTTCCTCTCCGCGAGGCGCTCTCTCTCTCTCCCTCTTTCTTTCATTCTCTCTCTCTCTCTCTCTCTCTCTCTCACACAGCTTCTCTCGGTGTCACTTTCTCTCAGTCCCTCTCTCAGTCTTTCTCTCAGTCTCTATCTCTCTCTCTCTCTCTCTTTCAGTCTCTCTCTCTCTCTCTTTCTCTCTTTGTCCCTCTCTCAGTCTTTCTCTCAGTCTCCCCCTCTCAGTCTCTCTGTCTCAGTCTCTCTCTCTTTGTCTCTCTCTCAGTCTCTCTCTCTCATTCGCTCTGTCTCTCCCTCTGTTTTTCTCTCACTCAGTCCTTCTCTGTTAGTTTCCATTCCTCTCAGTTACCCTCTATATCTTAGTCTCTCTCACAGACTCTGGCTCTGTCTCGCTCAGAAAGCGCAATCACTAAACGTTATAAATATTTCTTTCTTTCACTCTCACTCAGTCTCTTTCTCTCTGAATCCCTCCCTATCACTCTCTTTCTCTCTCTGTCTCTCCCACAAAACACACAGTCACTACACATTATGGGAACTCCCTCCTCATCGGCCTTCCTAACTCTTCCCTTCACAAGCTGCAGATCATCCAAAACACTGCACTCTGCCGCCTTGTCTCTCATCTCTCTCACTGAATGCCTCTCTGTTTCCCTCTCTGTTTCTGGTTCTCTCTCTCTCAGTCTCGGTCTCTCTCAATTTCTATTTATCTCTCTCTCAGGCTCTGTCTCTCTTTTGCAGTCACTCTCTCCGTCTCACGCTCCCTCATTCTCTCTCTGTCTCAACCAAAAAACAGTCACTACACTTTATAACAGATTGTCATTCACAGACTCCCTCTCTCAGACACACTGTCTCTGGCGGATAATGACTGTGTTTTGTGGGTGAGAAAGAGCGAGAGATCGAGAGAATGAAAGGAAGAGACGGAGAAATACTGAGTGTGAGAGAGAGTCTGAGAGTGAAAGGAAGAGAGAGAGAGAGAGAAAGAGAGAATGGGAGAGAGACTGGGAAAACAGTGACAGCGAGAAAGTAAGAGGCATGAAGAGAGAGACAGGCAGTGTGTTTTGTGGGAGAGACTGAGAGACACAGATATTTAGGGAGAGAGAGAGTGAGACTTGGAGAGATACCGAGAGAGACTGTAAGAATGACTACAAGAGGGAAAGAGACTGAGAGAGACACTGATAAAAAATTCATAACGTGTAGTGACAGTTTTGTGGAAGAGACAGATGGAGACTGAGAGAGAATGTGAGAGAACATGTATTACAAATTAATACAGAGTAATAAAAATAATTATTACAAATGTGTGTTTTGGGGAGAGACAAAGCAAAAACATGAGAAGATTGAGAGAAAGAATGAGAGACTCGGAGGGAGACAGTTACTGCGACAGAGAGAAAGAGACGGAGAGAGAGTGACAGATAGAGTGACTGAGTGAGATAGAGATAAACTGAGAGAGAATGAGAGAGAAAATATAATGTGTAGCGACTTTGTATTTTGTGGGAGAGAGACACACAAAGAGAGAGATAGAAACTATAAGAAACATTGAGAAACATACTGAGAGAGAGTCCGAGAGAGAGTTGGAGACCAAGAGAGTGATTGAGAGAGAGACTCAGAGAGACTGGGAGATAGAGACTGAGAGAGAGAGAGAGTGAGAGAGAAACAGAGACAGAGATAGACTGACATGAAGAGAAAATTAGTGGAAGAGAGCCTGAGCAAGAGAGACTGGGAGAGAGAACATATTATAACTGTAGTGACTGTGTTACGTGGGAGACAGAGAGACAGAGGGAGAGAGAGACTGAGAGAAAATATATTATGAAGTATAGTGACGTGTTTTTTGGGAGAGGTAGAGAGGCAGAGAGAGAGAGAGAGAGAGGAGTGCGTGAGAGAGACAGAGAAAGAGAGAGGCTGAGAGAGACGGTGAGAGAAAATATCTTATAAAGTGTAGTGACAGTTTCGTGGGAGATAGAAAGAAAGATGGTGAGAGACTGAACGAGAGCATGGGAGAGTGAGACTAGGCGAGAGAGTGACTTCGAGAGAGAGGGAGAGAAAAAGAGGCAGAAGGAGAGACAGAGAGTGAAAGGGAGGCAGAAAAAGAGACTGAGAGAGAGAGAAAGAGATAGAGAGATGTACAACGAGCAAGACTGAGACAAAACTATGAGAGAAAATCTATAGTAAAGTGTAGTGACCGTGTGTTTTTCGGGAGACGCAGAGAGAGAGAGAGAGGGAGAGACTGAGAGAGACACTGAGAGAGATAGAGAGAGCCGGAGAGAAAGGCTGATAGACAGAGAGACTGAGAGAGGGAAACCGTGAAAGAGAATATATTATGTAGTGTATTAACTGTGTATTTTGTAGGTGAGACAGAAAGGGAGACTGATAGTGAGAGAGAAAGAGAGAGAGAGAGAGAGAGATTGAGAAAGAGATTGAGACTGAGTTAGCGATACTGAGAGACAGTGACTTCGAACGATAGAAATAGAGACACATATAGAGCGAGACTGAGAGATAATATGCAGTGACTGCGTATTGTGGGATAGAGAGAGAGGATGAGATGAAGAGACTCAGAGAGAGAGAGAGTGGGGGAGATACTGGAAAAAAGAGCGAGAGAGAGAGAGAATGCAAGAGAGACAGAGAGAAACTGAGAGAGAGAGAGCAAGAGATTGAGATGGAGAGAGAGAGATTGTGTGAGAGAAGATGTTATAAGGCGCAGTGTCTGTGTTTTACGGGAGACCCTGAGTCTGAGAGAGAAAGATTGACAGAGAGAAGAACAGGAATAGAGAATGAGAGAGAGAGTGAGAGACTGAGAGAGAGGAGAGAGAGAGAGAGAGACTGATTGAAAGGGACTGACAGAGACTAAGTGAGAGAAAGCCAAAGCGAGACGGAGAGAGAGACTGAGAGGGAGAAAGTGACACAATGAAGGTATGACTGCCTCTCCCCCAGTAGGACAAACCTCCCCATAGCTGCCTCTGCACTGCAAGTCCTCAGCCTTTACAGTCCAGGGCCCAGTTTACCCGCTTCCCCACGGCCGGTATCCAGAGCCCATTATAACAGTGTAAGTGACTTGGGTGTGAGGAAAGGGCAGTGCTGTGGAAGCTGCAACACATCAAGGGAGGGAGCGAAGTAAAGAGTTTGTGGGATGGAGTTCCAAAGTGCGGGGCAGAGTCTGAAAACTCGGTCGCCGATGGCAAGGCGGGTCGGCCAGGAGAGATGGAGGAGGCTGCAGCCAACTGAAGGAAGGGAGTGGACAGGTTGATAGGCGGTCAGCAGGTCAGAGAGGTAGGAGGGAGCAGGTCCGTGGAGGGCCTGGAAAGTGAAGAGGCGTATTTTGAATTCTATCCACGAGGGGATGGGGATTCAGTGGAGCCGGGCGATGGTGGGGGAAATTGTCATGGAGTCTGGTGCAGGAGAGGACAGAGCTGCAGAGTACTGGATGACCTGCAGCTTGTGGAGGGAAGAGTTGGGAAAGCTGACAAGCAGGGAATTGTTATATTTGAGCCAGGGCGTAATGGAGGCGTGTATCAGGGATTTGGCAGCCTGAGGGGTGAGGCAGTGGTGGAGTTAGGCAATGAAGCAGCGGTTGGGGAAGGAAGGCACAGTTGATCATGGCACAGATATTGGGGAGAAAGGACAGTTGACGATCGACAAGACACCCAAGTTCCTGACTGGCTTGATGAGGTGGAGTGGGCATCCGGGGATGCTGAAGCTGCAACTGCTTGAGTTGCGGAGGTGCTGTTGAGAGCCAATCAGGAGAGCCTCAGTCTTGCTGACATTCAGCTGTAAAAAGCTGTTTTGAGACAGAACATGATATCTGACAGACATTGTATCAGGACAGCAGTGGACGTGGGGTTCAAGGGTGGAGGCAGCGACGTAGTCATCTGCATACATGTGGAAGTTGACCCTGTTTCTGCAGTTGATGACAACAAGAGGGAACATGGACAGGTTGAGGAGGAGAGGCCGAGAACAGAGCCCTAAGGAACACCACATGAGGCGGTGCAGGGGATGGGGGAGAAGCTTTGTGGAGACAAAGTGGAGCCCATATGAATTATCGAATACAATGATAATCGTAATAATATGTCTTGCAATTCTCACAGCCCTTAGCTTGGCAATACATCTTAACATGGTGTGCTGCTGGGTCCACATGGATTGGGATCTCCCTGGGGCCTGGTCCTGGCAACAGAAGAGTTACGCTATTCCAGCAGCATTGTCACCCTCAGTCAGTGTCAGTGAGACTAATGTCTTGGCTTCTGCCAGCCCGGTCTGTGAGCACCAGTTGCAGAGCACTGGATGTGTCTTTATTCTCTAATTCGCCATAGACTGTGAGCCCCAGATATGTGAAAGATAATCTCTGTGTCTGTGAGTTCTCAGGAGCTGGAAATGGAGAATTTTCATCAGGGCCAGGGGAACCCACACCTGTCAGACTGATGTCAGGCTGACGGAGATGTGTTTAGTGTGAATTATGTTGCTTGAGAGTTACAACATTGTACTGGAGAGAGGGTAAGGCTGCCCCTGGATAAAAGGAATGGCCAAGCCCTTGGTAGGTCTCTTAGCCCTGGAATGCAGCACTGGGCGAGATGCTGCCACCGGAAGGAGAGGACACAGGAAGCCTCCGCATAACCACAGGGTTCAGGGGAGTGAATCCTGTGGCCTGAGATGGGGAGACGCTCAAAGGGTTAGACGTTAGAAGGGTTTCCGTGTGTCAGAGACTCTGGTGTCAGGAGAAACCTTTCCTTTATGGATAAACCAGAACCATTGTATTATGTCTCTGAGTAGAAAGTGGGGTCTGTCTGACCTGTGTTCAAGTTACAATTTATTCAATAAAATGTGTATTTCAGGTGGGAGTCAGGAATCAATACCAATAACGTCAGCAATCTGGGAATGTCACCGAAGCACTCACGGTGTGGAGCAGCCAGTTGTGCAGTGGAATGTCAGCCATTCACATCCCAATCCCCCAGGACAGGATTGTGGTGCGTGACGGCCATCACAGTGTCACCCACAGTTCTCTCCTGCTGTGCGTTACCGTTCTCTCATTGATCAGCTGGTGTTTGATGTTAGTAAAATGCTTGAAAATGGCTTTGAAACAAGAATAATATGAATAAGATTTACAAATAGAGTAAACTTACTGCAACTCCTGACACTTGTGCAGAGCAGGAACCAGACGCTGAAGACCCTCATCCTGAATGTAGCAGCTCCTCAGATCCATTTGTTTTATTGTGGTACAAAGTCCAATGGCCTGAGACACCACAACACAGTCTATCGGTGTCAGTCTCAATGCTTTGTCTGGAGAGTGATCACCGAATGTCAGTGTTTGTACAGAGCCCAGTGTTTGCTGTGCCAGGGCTTGATTCTGAGATTCAAACAGATAGTGGAGTGTGTTCAGCAGATTCCTTTTCTCACTGCTGCTTTTGCTGAATTTCGTGTGAGTTCTAAACTTCTCCTTCAGCCAATTGATCACCACACAGATTGTCTGATGGACAAATGGACCCAGAAACTCCTCCAGTGGCTGAGCTGCCCGTGGGGAGGAGAGACCCACAACAAAGCGCAGAAATATCTCAAACCGGCCGTCCTTCTCCTTGTGAGCATTATTCAGTAGTTTCCGCAGATTTTCTGTATTTTGAGGCAGAAACTGAGCGAGTGCGGCTACAAACTCCTGGATGGTGAGGTGCGGGAATGTGTAGACCACGCTGTGCTCTGAAGACTCTCTCTCCACAAGTTCCATGAGAAAGCCAGAGAGGAACTGGGAAGGCTGGAGGTCATATTTGATCAGATCTTCCTCATTAAAGACAATGTTTCTCTGGGAGACTCCAGTGAAGGCCATCTCACCAATCTTCAGCATCACATCACGGGGGCTTTCCATCTTGACACTGTGATGTGATAGTATGTTATAAATATAATAGGAGAAGAGTTGTGTGACTGTCTTGGGAACTCGCTGTTTGTTGCTGTGTTTCCGTGTAAAGAAGGGACCCAGAGACAGAGCGAGGATCCAGCAGTAGGACGGGTTGAAGCACATGGTGAACAGGAGCTCGTTCTCCTCCACGTGGCTGTAAACAGCAGCCGCCACCTCCTGATCTTCAAAGAACTTGTGAAAATATTCCCTTCTCTCTTCACCAACAAATCCCAGGATTTCAGCCCAGACACTGACCTGAGCCTTTGCCAGTAACTGTAATGCAGTGGGGCGGCTGGTCACCAGCACTGAGCAGCCCGGCAGCAGCTTTTTCTGTATTAAACTGTACACAATGTCAGAAAGTTTACAACGGAATTCAGGGTCTGTGCACTTGCGCTGAGGTTCTGTGTGTCTCCGAATGTCAGCGAAATCAATACTTCCCCTAAATTCATCCAAACCATCGAATATAAAGAGCAATGTCTCTGGGTGTTTCCACAGCTCATCCAAAACATCCTTGAGGTACGGATACTGCTCCACGATCAGGCGGTTCAGTGTTATTCTGCAGTTAAGGCTGTTTAAGTCTCGGAATTTAAAAATAAAAACAAAGTGAAAGTGTGGATAGATTTTGCCTGTGGCCCAGTCATGGACAATCTTTTGCACCATGGTTGTTTTTCCAATCCCCGCCACTCCACTCACTACTGCGGAAGTCCCTGTGAAATTGCCAGATCCGCTTCTCTTGTAGAATTTTTTCATCCGGGAAAATAGTCCTCCTCCAGAGAAACTGCTGTGGAATAGTTTATCAATTCGGATTTTTTCCAGCTCTCCCCGGAGCTGCTTCTGTCTCCACTCCTCGTGGTCTCTGCCTCTCGCCAGCAGCTCATGTTCTACCAGATCCCGGTCACGTACATCAGAAATAATTGTTAGCTCCGTGTAGCGATCAGCCAACTGAAAGTGCTTCACCTTCTCCTTTATCAGAATGGTATTTACTACCAGTTTCTCACTTTGTTTTAGTAACATCTCCTTGTGCTTTCGCTGAGCATCTTCAATTAGAGTAATTACATTGGGGTTAGACGCACCAAGAACATCTGCCTTTCGGCAGCTTCTCAACACTGTGTGAGTTTTCTGTGTGGAGGTTGCTGTAGGAGTGTGGAGGCGCAGTCACAGAGATAGACTTCAGAAGAGCTTTTAATGAAGTGAAAATTACAGATTGTGGAACGGTGGAGATGCGCAGAAGAAGGAGGTTGGAGACAGTCACAGATGTAGAAAGGAGAGGGATGAATCAGGATATAAAGGGGAGACTGAGCATTCAAGCCAATTCCGCCGTAGTGAGGGTGAATGTAAATTTTGTTGAGGATGGAGGTAATGGACATGTGAATCTTAGTGCGTGTAGGGTTGGGAGTAGCTGAGTTTGGATGAGTTGCAAACTTGTAGGTGGTAAAGCTGGAGAGGGCGACCAGGAGGATATCAATATAATCAAATTGATGCTCCTCCCATTTAACTGCCAGATTATTTGTACTTTCCGTAAATCGCAGAGAAAATGTCAAAGATTCAAACTCTGCATTTCAGAAATGAATCCATTGGTTACACCTTGAAATGGTCACATACCTTTAAGTGTGCTGGGTACATCTGGTACACTTTGGTCAATAATCACCTGGTTTACTAGACTGGCACCTGTTGTAATCGAGGACATTCCATTAGTTATAGTGAATTAGTTATCTAGGTTGCTTCAGTAAAATATGTAATTGATTTGGGAATGGATTCACTGTAAATGTATATTGTACCTTGCTCCTGTATTTCAGTCATTATTTTGTTCAGTTTGGGCAAAGTGTACCTTATTTCAACAAAGGTTTCCCACATCAGTCTTTGGGCTCGCGAACCTTTCCCGAGCGCCAGATTCAGAAGAAGTTTGGAGCTTTGTCTCCTCTGCCCACTGTGTGTGAGCTCAGTCAGTTTCTGCAGAGAGTGAGCATTAATAACAGTGGAAACATGAGCTGCGTTTGTGATCAGGAAATGGCCAGTTCCATCGTGGTGTGTTCATGTTGGTTGAGGTTCCACAGGCACAATTTGCCCTCCTTTACCCCAGTCAAATTGTCATTGTTCACATGTGAGACTTGGCAGTGCGTTTACTGAGGAGAGCATCACAGCATCCTGACATCTCCTCACCTGCCTGTCTCAAACAGTGAGCTGGAGCTTTAGCCACAGCACCATCGGGTCAGTGTCCAAAGCAACAAATGTAAAGCAGTGATGCATGGAAATGCTTAACATTTATTGCATCAACCCGCAGCCACCCAGCCCCCTTCCTCCATCCCAGTGTCACTATGACTCGCTCCCTCACTTCCCATGCTCAAGCACGCCTCTTTAACCATGTTCTCTTTATCTTTACATCCTCCCCATCCTCTCCAATTCAAACCCAGCTTGGTTGCCCAGCCATCATTATAAAGCATCTTGAGATGTCTACCCAGTTGAAAGATGCCATAACAATGAAAACTGTAATGTGTTGCAACATGTTGAATGGATACACTTTGCACAATAAACATACATGTGTCACATAGGATTAGCTTATGGAAATCAGATAAACTCTTCCCATCTGACCACCTACTTGATATTTCTCCTGGCTGAAGTATTTTTTTCTTGTCAGTACTGAGCTGACGGTCTCCACATCTTCCTCGATGGCCTGTTCTATTCTGTCCCGGTAGAACTTAGTGAGTCTGAACAGCTCGTATCCGTCGTACAGGGCGAGAGTCTCATAGAATGTGACCCTTGAACCTGTTGGCCACAAGACTGATAATAAAACTAATTTCATACCATATTGTACATTCACATGTCAAAAACATTTCACGGTTGATCAGTGTGTGTCAATGTGGCTCATTGGCAGCTTACGCAAATCTCAGTCACAAGGTTGTGCGTTGAAATCCTACATCAGGCTTCGAATCATGTAGTCTAAGATAACGCTCCTGCACATTGCTGGGGTGTGCGTGTGTTTGGTGGCGGGGGTCTGGGGTGGGGAGTGCATTGTTGGACGTGTGGTCTTTCAGGACTCTGCTGTGCGAAAGCTGGCTGCTCATTTCGCCCACAAAATATGAAAGCAAATACGCTTCACAATGTATCCTCTTTACTATGAAGCCTCGAGAGACGTCTCGAGAAAGTAATAAGATGCTAAATTAATTTGTTTATAAAAGGTTGACAGCTTCACTGACTGCAAATGTTAGCAGATTTTCTCAACTTGCCTGTCTCACTTTCGTTTTCTTTGTGATCTGTCAGTGGTGGGTTAGGATTGGGAGCCTGGGCCATGGTGATTCCAGGTAATCAGAAGCTCTTCACAGATCACCTATAAAATGAAACAGATAGTTATGAGGTTCAATCTGATACAGCATTCTGAACATCAGTGGCATCAGAGGTAACTGCTGATCAATTTATCAGTGGACAAATGCATGATAATAATAATAATGCATACATTTGTTATAGTGCCAATCACGTGGTTGAGGTTTCAAAGCGCTTTACAGAATGTGCTGTGAAGTGAATTAAATATATTCTGTCGGCAAAACGTAGCTGCCGATTGTGCACAGTAGTGTCCCTCAAACAGTCATGAATTGCGCGTTCAATTTTTTGTTTTAAGGGATGATTATCTCTGGAATAGTGATTCGCCAATAGACTTGCAACCGGGTTTCTACACACTACAACATCCACAACTAACTGGGAGCATGAATGACCAATCAAAATAACTCCTGCGATGGTATCTCAGATCATTTTCTTAGTGTCATCAAATTTACATTAATCCATTCGGTGACAGGGAGACAGTGGAGTTAGGCGAGAACTGGTGTGATGGGGCTACTCAGTTTTGCGTGTGTGAGTATGCGGACGACAGAGTTTGGGATGAGCTGCATCTTGGGAATAGTGGAGAAGGAGAGACCAACGAATAGGCCATTTCAATACTGGAGGAAGGAGGTCTCGAACGCATGGACTAGTGTTTAATCTTGGATAATGTTCGGTCGGAGGCGGGTAATATGACGGATGTGGAGGTAGGTGGTCCTGGTCAGTGGCCGTATGTGGGATAGGATGGACAGCTGTGGGTCAATCCTGATGCAAACAAAAAAAATTATTGTCCAATGTTAAACTTGTCCATTTCCGGCAGTGGCAATATCAAACATCCCCTCCAGAAACTGTTCAGTCTGTTACAGTGTGAATGTGATTTTCTCTTCCACAATCTCGGGCCTTCCCACCGATCATCAGACGAAGACCAGTGTGACATTGCTTTCTCCCACTTCAACGTTCCCTTTGTTTCATTTTAGCCACCTGCCCAATGCAGCACATTCTCTGTGCTCTGTGTCTGATCTCCTGCTCTTTGAACCTCGTGTGTGTAATAGTCACTGAAACGTTATCAACGCCAATATGCAATGTTGACTTTTATGCGTATTTCCAGGTAACGTAACTGTGGGTTGGGCTCTGGACTTGCAACAAGGAATTTCAGGCGAGTTGCGTTCAGCTGCTTAAAACTCAATAGGATAAGGGCCATCTTAACAATTAATTTCCACTTATGGGGAAAGTGAAAGAGAATGGTGGCAATCAGTCAGGAAGATTAAGGTTGAGCATTAAATCTTCTTTCCCACATGGTGAAAGCTGGTGAGCAACATTCAGATAGATCAGCCTCTCCACACCTTCTCGAGATTCACATTGTACTGAAAGCCTGAGATAGAGCGATAAATTATCGATAAGCTGAGGAGCAACGGCCACAAAAAGAGGCGACTCAGAGAATGCACCAGAACAATAGCAACAACAATATATAGTGCTATTGACGTAGGCAGTATCTCTGAGCACTAAAACTCTATTGTGGTTCCTGAGCTGATTTTTTTTGTCAGCCGAGTTTCTGACAAGCGATAAATCCCTTCACCAAACTAAACAGTATCCAAACAAAGCTGACATTTCCATGCCTCCCACCTACACATGAGAATACCAGAGATAGATTGTTGAAATGGAATAAACACTTTCGCTCTGGAGGATTGCATCCACCTTGCCTAATCTGGAGAGAATTAAGACCAGGTTGGCAAGAGCGAAGGCTTGTGGGAACCCAGCATGTGTTTTCGGTAATAGTTTGAGTCTCACACAAAAAGCAAGATGGAAGGATTGAGGCAATGCTGAAAAAGCGTCTACCCATCTCCTTAAGGTAGTGTAATAATATTAGTAATAATCCTTGTATTTGATATAACGCTTTTCACGTCGGGAGGACGTCTCAAAGCGCTTCACAGAATATTAACAATAATCCTTGCATTTGGTATAGCGCTTTTAACGTCGGGAGGACATCCCAAAGCACTTCACAGAACACACTGTAAAGTGAATTGACTGTATATTTGTGGGCGAACGCGGCAGCCATTTGCGCACAACAATGTCCCACAAACAGTCGTGGATTGAAAATGATCAATTTATTATTGTTTTTGGTTTTGGAGGGATTATTATTAGGCTCTATGTGGAGTAAGGAATCTTGCCCAAGGATTCGCCCTCTGCCTGGAATTGAACACAGGTCTCTCGCTTGCAATGCGAGTGCTCTAACCACTGAGCTACATGACTCCTAGTGTAGAGGAGAGCAAGCAGGATCATGGCTAGCTATGGGGGAAGCAGCGACGAGCAAGTATTAAAGCTCAGGATAGAGCCATTCAGCCCATGCAGTCTGGCTGGTACTAATATTCTAGAAGAGGACCCATCGTTCATCAACAATATTTCGGATCAATCAAGTTCATGAGTAGATGTTGGAGAACATTACCCCCTTAAACAATGTCACGATGGTTAGTTAAATTAATTAAACAAATTACATTGAAATTATTCCATGATCATTGGCTCCGGGTTTCTTACATATCATCAAACTTTCACTAACTACAAAACAACAACTTGCATTTATCTTGCCCTGTTCGCATGGAGTGGCATCCCCCAGCGTTTAAAACCTGCAGTAACTTTCCTGCTTTATTTCAGCAACAATCAGAGCTTATGAGAGACTCACCGTCTTGTCTCCCCACTGACTGAGCTCCGGTTCCTGCCTTTGGTTCGCGAGCCTCTCAATGATGAGCTTCAGTGTTCTGGGCTGTACAGGTAATACACAACTGGTCAGAGTCCAGCAACTAATGTCTGGCAGAATAATCAAAGCCTCGCCCTGCTTCCGTGGAGATTTCCACAGAAAATAAATGCTTATCAGCTATAATAGTTCCCCTGTTCGGGATTAAGTGCCGAAAGCAAAGCACCAATTTAAGATCGTTAACAAACTAGGGAGGTTTGGTGATTTTTTTTCCTGCACAGCTGGTTATTTGGTTATGGAAAGCCCTGGCGGGAGAGATGTTTGAGGAAGAATCCATATTGGCTTTCAAAACATGTCCAGATATCGACTTTTCGAAAAACTAATCGGGAAAGGTCCAAAGAAAACATATTGGGGACATTCGTTTTTTATGTTGTTCTAAATGTTGTGGATTTTTCTCTCTCATTTTCTCTTTTTCCTCTCACAAACTCTCTCTGTCATTTCTCAATCATTGGCTCCCACTTCTCGCTCTGTCTCACAGACACTCTTTCGCTCTTTCAATTCCTCTCTCCCTCTCTATCCCCCTTCTCGCACACACGCCTGTCCCTCCACTCACACTCCCTTTCCCCTCTCACAGTCTCTCTATCTCCACTCTGTTGATCACGCACTCCCCCTCTTCTCCCTCTTATCCTTCACCCTCTCTCCTCCCACAATCTCGGTCACTTTCTTTCACTCTGTGTCTCAGCTTTCTCCCTGTCTCTCTATCTTTCTCTCACTACTTCAACTCTCTCTCATTCTCTCACCCCTTTCCGTCAATCACTTTCCCACTCATATTCTTACCCACACTCTCACTCTTAACAAATTCCTCTCCCCCTTTGCCACAAAGTCACTCACTGCCATTCTCTCACTGCTCTGCTTCCTCCCACTCTCACCCTCCCTGTCTCTGCTTCTTTCTCTCAACCCATCCTCTCTCCACCATTCGTTCTCTACGCCTCTCCTAAAACACACACACT